TTTCTAATTGCATGAAGAATAGAGATTTGAAATCTACAGGTTATTTTGATTGTGATGAGTCAGATCCCCTAGTTATAACATGGAAAGTTTCTTAAATTTGAATGTTGGATTGACAGAGATTTCGGGAGGTATTTGTTTGGGGAGGTTGATTTCTGGACTTGAAACAATTAGTTTTTGGACTCTGATAAAGTTGCCTTGCTAGCCTCCATGTGTGATTCTTGACAGAGCTTTCCTTTCTTGCCTAAAAGCAAGAAAATTGAGCCTTACTCATGCATGCTGGACTCAGAAACAAACATCTGAACAGTACATGTCTGAAGTTAATTCAAATGAAAGGGATAACCCATTAAGAACTTCACAGTTACAAGACAACCTTTGCAGACCCAAGGGCTTTGGCTATAAAGTAAAGCAAAACATTGGAACCTAGAAAATTTGTCACAGATATACTGTGATTTATGTACACATACATAAACATACATGTATGAGCATGTGTTGGGAATTCAAAAGGTACAAATAGTAGTCAGTGAACTAAAAGTTTGTAGTTTTTCCTTTTAAACTGTTATAAAAAATAATTAGCCTTTTTAGATGATATTGCAAGGGACTAGATTGAAATTATATTTACAGTAGGCATGCTTTATGCCAAATGACATGATGACAAGGGTCCTGGGACCCTTGCTTTTCATAATATATATAAATGACCTTCCACTAACAATAAATTTTTCATCAGAACCCATAATATTTGCTGATGATACAAGTGTTATAATCTCTAGTAAAATGTTTGATGATTTCTGTGCAATATCAAACAGAGTACTCTCCCACATGAATAAATGGTTCAATGCTAACAGACTTGCCCTAAATTTAAACAAAACAAATGTAATGAAATTTACAACAAATAATGCCCCTCCCTATGTTTTAAATATTGGATATAATGGAAAATATATAGAAGAGACAGTAAATACGAAATTCCTTGGCTTGCAAATTGATAGCCACCTAAGTTGGTCGAACCATATAGATAAATTGATCCCTAAGTTAAGTGGAGCATGCTACGCAGTTAGAAGCATGTTTCATGTCAGCAATACTGAGACTCTCAAATTGATTTATTTTGCCTATTTTCATTCTGTAATGAAGTACGGAATAATTTTTTGGGGTAACTCATCTTACAGCCA